GCGGTAGTTCTCGCATCTCGTCTTGTCTCCCTTCTTGAGGATAGAAACAAGAATGCCTAAGCCCCAGTCATCAGGAACAACCTCGTCTCTCCACGCTCGTTCAATCACCGCATGGAGTTAGGGCGCCAGAGTGTTGACACAAGACTTGAAGATTTAAGCGGGTAAATCGTCCTCTCCGGGTGCCTTATTGTTGCGCGACTTTCGTACGGCATCAACGACTTCTCCTTCACACGGAGGGGGGTCGCATGGCACTGCATAGGTAGGAGAGGGAAGAAACTCCGCTTGAGAGGAGAGCAAGGACGAGGTAGGTTGGGTATCGAAGTTGAGATGGTGCTCAAAGTGCTCATGCCAGCGCTCGACTCTGGCGACTACCCAGACAGTGATTCTTGAGGAAAAATAATATACTAAAGACGACGAGGAGAGGTTTAGCCCACAGAAATCAACCGCTCAACATCTCTGGGTGATTTAGATAGTACAAAGCACTCAGACTCGATGTTAGATCAGCCTTAAGACCAAGCCGTGTATACGAGACCCCGTCCAGATAGTCATTTTACATGGATGTGGGGCATGGCGAGTACACTAAAATAAATCGTCAGCTCTATATATTCAGTGGCTGGTGTTTGCGTTCTATGTTCCGAATCCGTCTCTCAAGTCGCGTCTCAAAAGAACAACTACGCAACCGCTTCCGTAACAGACCGGTCAATCGCATCATCTACTCGTTGACAGAAGTGATTCGGTCACCCGCTGCATCCAGCTGACCATAAAGTTATTGAGTGTCCTTTAGCTCGTGACAAGGATCAACCTCGAGCACATCCTCGGCCCTGCAATCTTCGGTCTGCGGAGCCGGAATGCCAACTAGGACAAACTCGCTCAGGAGCCTGCCACTGACCGAGTTAAATAAAACGATCGTTCGTGGTGTGATTAATCAGCAACATCGAGTCGGCCGAACGAGTTATTATGAGCATCGTTACAATTACGGGCGCTCAGACCCAATAGATAACATGAACGAAATTCCGAATCGACTGTCAAAAGAAAATTCAAATGGGTGCAATAATTAAAACTAGCTCCTGTGGTTCTACAGAGAAAGAAGAAATCAGAGCACATAATCTACGTTTCAGTTTGGTCATCTCCTTGACTATCCTTTTTCTCCTCCCCGAGAAACACACTAGCATGCCTACTAATGTGCGTGGGGGTGCAATAAAAATGACGGCACTGCACATTGCTCTACGGAGAAGGTTGCCAAAAACTGGAAGCAGCCAGTGGGACTGCCGCAGTTTACACACTTTAACGGTGTGCAGTTCACGGAAGGGCCAAAGGAATCAAGGTTTCGTTTTTGCAGGTCAAATATACTCGGCAAACATCACAGTAGACGTGTGGGGAGTTTCATCATTTGATTCGCAGGCACGAGGACGTGCAAGCGGTTTGAGCATTTTAGTACTGCCGCCAGCAGGGTCGACCACCGCCTGCGACAGCTGGCGACAGTGTTAGACAGGGCAGTTTCGTAACGTATTTCGTCAAGCATCGCGCTATACATACAGCGGGGGGAGTATGAACATGTCCCCAACAACCTTAAGCTGAGTAAAAGCAGATCTAGGGCTATCGGTTCTGATCCGTTATCAAATGATGACGCTCGTCTCCAGCAACATACTTTTCTTCTAGCGGATCTCAGAAATAATGTCAGCTACTAGGTGGGTACAATAATCGGCGGATTTGAGGAGAGGAAATGGTTGGTCATAAACGTAATTAATGTTAAAGGGGCGTCACCTTTCATAAGCAAAAAGTTCCCTCCTGGACCTCGGCATAAAAAGTTTGCAAGGGTACTAATAAAGAAATATAAAAACAGGAAAATAAAAATACTGTAACGTGGGGACCCATGAAATGAGGATTTCGATCACCTGTGGATAAACGCGACGCATGCCATCAGACTCGAGTGGTTTCAGGACAGGATCGTCCGTATTAAACAGTGTTCCAAACATCCGAAAGGATGTAGAGGCGGGAATTTGGGGCGGAGGTGGCGCAGTACCGGCAGCTACTTCGGCGTCAGAATACTTATTAATGAGCTGCCAAGGGGGCAGTGGGAAAAGGCTGACATGTGCAGGTCCCTCTGCTGGACGGTTCATGACGTTGTTATTCTAAGAACGTAGTTTGGATGAGGCCTTTTTGAGGCAGGATAAAAGCTCGGAAAATTCTTTATCGCACGAGTGCTTCTTTACTTCTGTTTGAACACTGATGCACTTTCCGTAGCCGGAGGTCTCCTTCGTGCACTTTAAAAACAACAACGGGTACTTATCCAAACGCGCTCGAAAAGAAGGCACCCTCGGGTTCATACGTCTTAGAGGCGTAAACCGGGAAAACCTGTAAGCGGCCAAACTTTCATAAAGCCCGCAAGCGCGGCTTACGTCGGCTATTGGTTTCTTGTTCTATATGCTGATTGGTTAATATATTTGTGGAGGAGGCATCTCATACGTGCAGTGGTTCTGAGGCGTTGCAAAAATGCCCGCACTGGCAGTAGTTCGTGTCAAATGGTGAAGTAGAAAATGCAGTCACATGATCTAGTTGAGCATTGGTTATTATTTCGAACATGCGAAACGGATTACCTTGGACGGGCTACGTTCCGCGATGTACACACTGAGGAAGTCAACTTTAACGGATGTAAATGTTTAAGCATTAGCAATCGGGCCGGTACACCAATATAAGTCACCTATGGCAGAGCAGCTAAAATTTAAATCAGCATACGAGCAGCAGTGATTGGGAAGAAGATTAAGGGCGTCACAACATGTCAGCAACGGGAGTCATTACGGCCTAGCAGGGTCATAATGAGGGAGAAATGGGGAGAGGACTACTTTGCTTCTGTTATTTGACGTAACAGGATGCGGGTACGAACGAGGGAGCTTATTTTGGGACAGGGCAGCTCGAGCGAGCGCCTGCGAGCACAAAACTGAGTTAGTCAATCGTTTCACCATCACCTCTGTCGAGGCATGTATCCGCCGATACAGGAACTTGGGGTGCAGCGCCGGCACTTAATGGACGACTCTTACTGCTTAGCTGACGCCTATGTGTTGGCCGGTGTCAGCCAGATGAGCCATAGTTACTCTGGAGGTAGACTTTCTCTGCCTTGACCTAGTCAGGCAGGATAGTTTTCGTACATCCCCTTGGACAGGTGCCAGTCAAGCTACCAATATAACCTATTCCATAGGAGAAAGAGGTGTGGATGACCTCTGAAATGTTCACAAGGTAGACCATGTGATGTTACAATACTTACCACCACCGAATGGTCATTTCCAGTATATCCGGTAGGTGGTCCCTGATTTCCGACTGATGGGAATGGGGTCCTTAGGGTGCATGAATTGCCGGCGCATTGTTGCTTCAGGTCTGTGAGAGACGTCAGTCCAAAACTCGCTCATCAGTCAAACAAATTCTTCTGGCACACCAGCTATATACGGCACTGCGCCCAGCATTTCGGTTTTTGCTGCTCCTTCGGTTTCCTTACCGGGGTTTTTCGTCTGTATTTTTCGACAAAATTCTCGGATTACCCACTGGCTGTAAAGAGTTCCATAGGAACTCGAGCCCGGCATTAATGTCGTCCGACTCAGTAGAGTTGACATCGACACACCAGTAGGGTGTCCTCGTGAGTTGCATTGTTACGAAGGGTGGTGGCTGCTAAGAATACTTATACGAGAGGTATTCACCGCCTTGCTGTTGACAGTTGTTTTCAGTACCTGATCGCATTTTCTGCGAACCAGTACGTCGAAAAACGGCAACTGACAATCTTTTTTCTTTCTTCATCGTGAACTGGATATCTGGAAAGATGGAGTTTTGATGTTGCGTAAATTTCTTATCCTACCCCGACTGATGATGACAAGTGTGTCATAAACATACCGTGGTCAGAGTCGTGGTCGCTAGTGGTCAAAAGCCAGTGCCGTCAGTCGCTGCAATTCTATATCAACCATCAAGGTGAAAACGGCGACCCCACCGTCGTGTCTTGACTTGTTCGTACGCAGCTTCGTTAAAAGTAAAGAAAGCAGTGTTATAAGCGATAAGTGTGTATTTTTATCTTAGGTTGTTTGTCCGTTTCGTTATAATATTCTTCTAACAAAGTTTGCCAGGTCTCAGCCGCGATATTTTGTTGGATGAAGATGAAAGTGATAAACGTCGGAAGGTACCTTCACTTCACCATCTGTAAATCGAATACTCTGTATTTCTTTTCTTAATTGTTTAGCCGAGTGGATGGTCGTTTCACAACCCCGAGTCAAAAACATCAGACATTGTAACTGCCACTTGGCCAGGCCAAACTTTGGCGTGCCTCTAGGAGAGATGACCGGCCATAGGGGAGTTCCTGGTTTGTGGACCCGGGGAAGACCATAGAATCTTGCGATCGCTGAAGCTTCCGGTTTCCTCCTCTGCCAGTCGGTTGTGTTATCGCATTTAACTTCCGAAGATTTTTCATGTCATTATTGATTATGCGCGTTAACGTCTTCGTCGTGGAAGTTCCGCAAGGAATGTAGACAGTTCTATCGCCCAAATGTCCCTCGGATTTGTTAACGTAGGCTGCTTCGCTTAGTATAACCGTCGACTGTCCTTTATCGGTTGGTAGTATGACCACACTTTTGTTGACCCTCAACGTTCGAAGTAATTTGAGAGCGTCTTGCATTTCATGTGGAACATGAGTCTGGAGGACATTCGCCGTCGCAGGAGATTTCTGATTACCTCAGTAATTTGGGCCTTATTGATGAGAGGCTTTACAGCCTCAATGAAGACAATTGGTTGGACGTCTGTGGTACTAAAATAGGTGTCATGGCTCAGATCTTTTATCCGCTGTTATGTCACATTTTTAGAATACCGATTGCGCACAAATAAGAATGCAGACAGTTCCTGCTGCTAATTTTCGAATGATAATTTCAAAATAGATCTTGTTCCTCTCCCCCACTCGATGTATATCTACCTACCTCTTTCCCGTTGAAAAATTAAAATAGCTCGCCTGTCTACCGCGCTTTTCAAAAATGCGCCGAAAACGTGCGACTGCCGCGCTCAAGGACTTAAGTCTCAAAAAGGTGGGCGCCCCATTTTACAAGATGCATAGTTAACTAGAAGAATAAACCAAGTTATTCGAGTGACGAAGAAATAAACTCAGATACTGATGAGAGCCTGTTAAGGTAAGCTCATGTGTATTCCTGTGTCTTATTTTTATTCCCAAGCGACTCGAAGGAAAGAGATACTGAGGAAGAGTTTGCTCTGGAGACGGCCCATGAAAAACACGTCCGCTTGACGAAGAAAGCCATTTCTGCCGCTCTTCGGGCAGGTAAATTTCCCAAAGATATTTTTTCACAAAGTGTAGTCGACTCTGACGAGGAAGATCCGACTGCTCATCTCTCTCTCCGGCTCCAGGAAGAAGCTCTTCAAGCTAGAGGGAAATTGTTTGCCAGGGTCGCATCTAATGTTTGCTCGGGTTGCCTTATTCTATTTAGTAGGTTAAGGTCGTTGAAGTCGAGGACGTCGTTTGTCTTCGAGGGCACAAGAAATCTGTTAACTGTATCTGCATCTCATCGGATAGTAAATTTCTCTTCTCCGGTGGAAAGGACGCATCTATAATAAAATGTATTCTGCGGTTTACCGGTCCAACTTCTAGGGTGCTTGAAAGAACACAGGAAGCTCATTTCTGCTGACGGCGGACGACGTGGCAGTGCATCTAAGCATCATACCGGACCTGTTTTATCAATAGCAATATCTGATGACAGCAAATATCTTGTAAGCCTTTCGCACGAGGGTTTCTCTGCTCATTGAGATTTCTCATGGAAACGATTTTTATCATGTTATTTCCGTTCAAAGACTAGCATCCAACGGGAACCATTGGTGGCATCCGAGTTCGTTTTTCTCACTTCTTATCTTTGGCCACGTTTGCTTGAATCTGGGTGGAGTAAGAACTCTGTTCCAGTGTCTTTTATGGATAATTAACACGCCTAGTTGAGAAGTGGTATTCCTTACCGTCACAATATTCTGTTAATATTTGCCAGCTGTCTTACGTCGTCTCACCATTGCCTTATGCACAAGAACTCAACCTCTTCGACAGTCCTTTTAATTGAATTACTAACATACAAATCTTGAAATGTTTAGGCCTCGGGAAGTACTGACAATGGTATTATCATATGGAATCCTCTGGATTTGAGTCCCATCTTCCACCTCAAGCGCCATTTATCCCCAGTCACGGTAAGACTGTCCTTTCTCATTGCTTTAAAAAATTCTTTGGATGCAACTGAGCAAGTCTTAAGCCTGTTGGAAACCTTGTCTCTGAAACGAAGTTTCATTCTTGCACATAGGGACGGGGATAATGTTAAAATTTAGTCGTATTTGTGCTATTTCTAGTACTGCCAACTGGCCGACTTGACGCAAAGTACTAAAGCTAAAGTTCTCCCGTCTTCAACAACGATCCACATTGAAATTTTGTCCTGGTAGCAGTGTGCATCTTTTCAAAAGCAGCGTTAATACCAGATTATACTCAGACAAAGAGTGGTGTCTAGCTATACGGGGCACTTACGGTTTGCTTTGATCGTTGTCAAAAACTCCGATTTACTGCGGTTTCGGCGTTTATGGCTCTTCTTTTTCACCTTTACCCTCGTATTTCCGAAAGCCCAAAGTCATGATACACAACCCTATTTGGGAGCTTGGTTTCACGCCCGAACGCAACCAGTCACGTTGGATCTGGATGAGAACTACCCATTTTCCTTCACTTATGGATAGCCTTTGAAACACATAAATGCACCATTACTTAGTATTTGCCGATTAAAATATAGCTTGTCGCTACCGTGTGAACTGAAAACCCAGTGTCTGGGGGTAAGACGCGAGCAAACGAGCGCCTGTTATTCACTGCTACAGAGCGTCGGGCTTGCAAACTGGTTACTTTAGTGCCGAAATGTGGCGGTCAGTTCGCCGGCATCCAATGAAAAAGCATTCTGTACGTATACTCCCGAAAATCCTGCTAAGTCTCATTATACATGGTCATTTGCCTTTAACTATTGTAGAAAGGTACATTAGTGCCTTCGGATAGTCATTCTTTGCAGTGCTGATCTGAGCTACCACGTCCTGTAGTCATGGCTAATGCACACCTTCCCTTCTATACTTTAGTGTACCTTGCGCATGGTTTCTTTATTAATGTTGACTCGACAAACCTGTTTCATGGTTATCCCTTAGTTAAGCAGGGGCGTACATCTGGTAAAACGTCCTATAAAAAGCATTCTGGAGCTCTCAGTCCCATTGACCAAAATGCCTTTATTTTGTCATCCGCCAGTTATGCCGGCACCAAAATCAAAGAAACGTCGATTTCTGACAGATAGATAGATGGATAAAGCTCGAAAATGCATTCGCATTTTAGCCTCTAATAATTTAGGTAAACACCGTTTCTATAGGATGCATTGTAAGGTTAAGTACATCAAATAGTAGTTATGAATTATTCCATAAGCATGGCAGATGCTGGCAGCCTTTCCTCCCGGATAAGCGGTCAATCAAGGGTGAAACTCGATCACGGACAGGTATTACCACTCTTTCGCAGGGGGCAGTCTTCTCGTTTTTGTTAACAGAACACATTTACGTAATACGCTGCTCCAGGCCACTTGGCATTCGCCACGAAATCCCTGTTTTCCGGCACCACCATGGGTTGGGCACTTTTGTTTGCACTGTATAACGGAGCTGAGGAAGAGGTCTGCTCACACTCCCTGCGCATTCCTACCGCACTTTGTTATTCCATGCGAAGTCTGCCTTTTTGTCGCTTGTTTAACATCTTGTGCCAAATTCTTCCATAATAAACGCAGTAAAACATCAAGAAAAATGTTCTGGCGTCCTTTTAGGCTATTAGTTTTCGGCGTCAGTCACACATGCTCTTCAGTGGTGACAGATCCGGTCGTGTGTGTGTATGGAACATGCCACTGACGGAAATTCTCCAGGATCAGGGGTGAGTTTTTCCTGTAATAATTGGTGCTCTGGGGACTTCATTTCGCCCTGCCGCAGTCTTGCAGTAACAACATTATCTTAAATTTCACTGTACCTGTAAATTCCTCCAATCAATTACCACTGAATTCCTCGACCTCGTGTCCACTTAGTGCTACTGAGCTTGTGTTTCTGTGAAAGATGCTTCGGAATTTTCAGTGCATCAAGGTCAACATTTAAAAAAGAAAATCAACTTATGTGCTTGACAGCATTAGCGTAAACTCAAAATTACGAAACCCAGAACAGTTTGCTTAGTGTTTGACTGAAGGAGTGGCCCGGGCAGCATTTGGCTCGCTCAAACCGACCTCGTACATGCCGACCAGCTAGTGTTGAGCCAGTTTTTATTATAACTTCTGCGGGTGCATATAGTGGACCAGCATTGGGGCTCCGCATAGATGGCACTTTAGAAATCTAGATATTTGTGATTTTCAAGTATGAGACTTGAAAAAAGCGCAATTTCTACAAAACTACTCAAGAACTGGGGTTTTGTCATTCTGAAAAAATTCATCCCAGGCATTTCGACATTGATACTACTTTAAGTAGTGTTTAAGCTGGCATTGTAACTTATCAGTACTGCAACTTGTACACTCTACCTGCAAGGACATTTAATCATTTCGGTTATTTTCACGAATTTCGCCCCCACTTCTCGCTTTTTTCTGTTCTTCCCCCTAGAGCTGCTACGAAAATCGAGGTCCTTTCAATCTGTGGGCTTTCAGCCGAACGCTGTATCTCATCTTCCGGTTTTGGGGGAGCCGGCATATGCCTGTGGAAAGTCGAAGAGGAGGTCTGTGTGCAGTATAATGTGAAAAACATTGCGGAGTAAGTACTGCCTTTCTTTTTTAGTGATCTCACATGGCCGTCAACTGATACATATAACCCATGCATCCATCTGGTGAAAGCAAGAATTTCGAATATTCGCCATTACCATGTAGAAATTGGAGGCAAATAATAGATTGCGTTAAGGAGACACGCTGCGTTTGATGTGACACAGGTCCACACCAATAACTGCTGCCGCTGCTACTCAGTGCTACTACGCACCTTTTAGTGTCAGTTACCCAAGGCAAGTCACTTAATAGCTTCAAACAGAGTTTAATGTGGACAACACTGAGCAACCCGTCTCTGTTTAGAGAATAGCTCATGTGAACGATCACTACTAGGGCAGGATGGACGGTTTCTCCTGTATTCGCTCGGACCCAGTTAACCAAGGTATTTGAACAATGTAGTGCGATCAAGCAGGAAAGAAAGCGAGGCTAACCGAGCGAACAGATCTCCAAATTCTTTCCGAGAAGATACTGGATTTCCCGACGTCCGATAGCAGGAGGCAAAGTCGATATTACCTGCCTATAACCGTGGATCTGTTCTCCACTATAGTATTTCATAGTGAATTTTAGGTATGTTTTGGCCAGTGTTTATCATCGTCCCACTTCACAATCGTATCCTAGTAGCCATCTTTTACCTAAGCTCCAATCAATAACGTTGGTTTCGCTAGCAAGCTCTCTTCGACCTCTATTCGTCATCTTTCTGGGTGCTTATGTGCATAATATGGCACTGGTGTTTAGTGTGCCAGAAGGCAGGGGATTTTCGAGCACACCTTAATTCGTCTACACTTTCCTTTTTACAGACTTTCAATTGAATGTGTCTACGCCGTAAACGACGATCTTTTTATTGGTGGGTCAACGTCCAAGTAAGTTCGTTCTGACATATTACATATTCTTCTTAGCGCATCATGATCGCTCTATTCTAGGGCTATTTGGACCCCATTTATTATGTCCAGCTGTTTTTTGTCGCTCTTAAGCTCTCCTTTAGCCTTGCAGCGGTGGGTCACTATGACGGGCTGTTTAGTACCCACGGCTTTGGGTTATGCAGTTTCACTCGACGGCAGACCTGTCGTGTCCTACAAAATTAACCTAATGGGTGATGCCCTGGCGGGCTAGAGTAAACAATGTGATTCGACCGCGTGCAAAGTTGGGGATGTGGGAACTGTCAACCACTACCTAAAAGCGATGAGGCATAGTGCCCGACCGGGCTGGGCGTACAACTGACTGTGATCGTTTTTTTTTACTTTCTCTCACTATTGCTATTTAGCACCCTCTACCTATGGCACGTGAGCCGAGGCAGCCCAATTTGCCGCATATACCCCGCCCATCCGACCTCCTCGCACGCTCCACCTCGGCTGCCCACGGAACGACCGGCTGTAAACTGGGTCACTGCGGTCGCCGGTCTTTTTGGCACTGATCTCTTTGCCTCCGGCTCTTCCACGGGACACGTTCAGCTCTGGAAACTGGTAGTAGAAGGCAAAGCCTTCTCCTTTGATGACTGCGGAAAGGCTGGTCTGGAACAGGAAGATGATGACGAGGATAAAGAAGAGGAGGTGGCCAGATTCGCGCGCCGCGGCGGCGCTGGCCGGCGTCTTCGTGTGCACCATGACAACACACGTATCGAGCGCATACCGGGGGCTGATTTCAACCTGGTAGGTTCCTGACTTATCAATATTTAATTTTGTCAAGGGCGCCCATGACGCTAACGACCGCTGCGCGTCTGCTCCGGCGATTTTTGAATGCTAAATGTCCACGTTATCGATTAGTTCGCGACGAGTTGGGAGCGCGTGGGCATACTTTTCCCAGATGGCCTGATAAGGTTTTTGTACCCAGACAGCTTTTGCTTACAAGGGCTCAATATTATTCCCCTCCCATGTATTCACCTGACAAAAAGCACAATTTTCGCTGGCGCCCAAACTTTGACTTTTGATGCAGCTTTCCAAATGACCCTCGACGCACGTAGTGGACATCTAGACAGGACAGTCAATGGAGCTGCTAAATTTCAAGCCCAACTATCGTTGTCTATTCACGCACGGCTTTTTATAAAACACCTGAGTATGTGTCTGAATTTGTGCCTCAGCACTAGCTGTTCTAGGAAGAAATTTATCGAGGAGCTTCATCTCCCATCCCCTGGTGATTGTTTTTAGAGAAAAGCCTCCTCAGGAATGAGTTTGTGGCCCTAAAGCGTGTCTCTGCTGTAGAAGCAACAGCGCCTGTAACAGCCAATGTAGTGGGTTTTTCTTAAGTCATACGGTCAGGCCTAGTCCCCGGTTTTCAGACGCCAGACGGAGTGAAGGGGTTGATAGTGGAACGACCAATAAATCGGCACGCCAGTGCACATGTAGGTTAGAGAGCATGCGTCGACTTTTGGAGGAGTTGCTCGAACCTGTACAAAGATGCAGTTAAGGCAGAAGACTTGACTGGTGCGGTCTATTCAAGATGGACCGGTGAGTTACCACGTTAACATGGGGGACAGGGGCTTGTTCGACGCAGCCCATCCTAGTAATTACTGTACCAGGCGGCTCCAGTAAATACGTTCACTTTCGGGCCCCGGTTTTGTGATGTAAATCATAGTGTCGAAGGATTAAAGTCTCATCGTCCGCGATCACGTCGAGACACCAGTTTGTGGTGGCCAAGGCAATAGGCGTATCCTAATTCCACATTCATCAGGCTCAGTCCTGACTGGCGAGGAAGTGTGGAAAATATCGGGTTGATGGATTTATTCAGTGCGATGCTCAGAGCATTTGTCCCAGCTAGCAATAGCCTCCGGCGAGGCCGGGGCATGTGCGAACAGTGCTACGCTATACTCGGGGGAGGAGTATGGTGTAGACTGACGTCATGGGTTTGTGGGAGCAAGTTTAAGGGACTCGGTCCAAGTATCACGTGAGACGATTGCGGTTGCCTAGATACGCGTGTCGACGTTGCAGGTGGCCAAAGTGACCGGTCGGGCTGTAAGGTCAGCTTGTCAGAGTGCCCAGAATTAAAATGGGTCGTCTTGAATCAACAAAAAGTTGGACAAAGACAATTAGGGGGGGACCAGTGGTAGTGGAGGTGGCCATGACCGTCTACGCGCTCTCGCTTCACCACTGTCTCGATGGACACTTACTGAAGCGCAGTCGTACAGCTACTTTTCAGGGCTATGTTTTCTTTTGTCACTCATTTGTTACAAGCCGCACACCAACGTTAGGGACTGGCCTCCTAAGTCCTTGTAATGAAGAACACCAACGTCGACTGTTGCGCTCACTAGCTCAGTGTTTTCCCTCTAAAGGCTGGCTTCATCAACAGTCTCGCCTTCTCAAACGACGGTCAGTGGCTGGCTGTTGGGATTGGTCAGGAGCACCGCCTTGGCCGCTGGGAGGAACGAAGGAAGGTGAACGATGTGGTTTGCCTTCTTCCAATTAATATTCCTGTCAGGTAAGATTTTGTAGTGTAGTGGTTTTGTGCTATATGTAGACCTGAAGTAATTATATTAGGCTCTCATTTTCGTTTTATCCTTTGCAGCCAACAGCGAACACGGTCTGCTCTGCATGAGTGAACCACTGATGGCATCCTATTCCTGCCTATAAATATTGTACAGAAATTTCAGTCCTTCAAATTTTACTTTGTCTTTTCAACTGGGAGGAGGGCAACAGATCTTTAGGGTTATTTCAGAACTAGGATTGATGTAACTGGGTGACTATTATCGTGGAAGGAAATACTTGAGCAACTGCCAGCAAATCCTGCACTTTACGAATTTTTTTCCGTTGAGAGAGTACTTCCCAATAATGCTTAATATCTAGCAATATTTTAAGGCTGCTCGGTGGGCGCAGTATGTCTTTGTCATACGATAGTACGTTTTTTCTGTTTGGAGGCCACTACCACACCTCGGTCAGGGGGCAAATTACACATAGATCGGACTGTAGTGAGGAAGACTTGCGCGGCGTCGGCGTCATGCCACTCGTCCCTACCACAGCCTAGTGACGGCGCGGAGTCAAGACGACTTGAAGTAGGATTGAAGGCCTTGTTTGGTCAGGACCTTCACACCCAATTTCCCGATGTTACAAGCGTGCCGGTTACGCGTAGCATCGAACCCGTTTTAGATACGCATTTGTGTCGGAATTGTTTCAACATCGCAGCCCGGCTCTATGTGTCGGGAGCCAAGTAAACCGCTAATAGGCAACTCTCCGGCTGAAGTAGTAGCTTACATAAACATCGGTCGGTCGTTGAGGCTGGCTACACTTCATCTTCTCATCCCCGGTGGTTAGGCCATGTCAAGACTTCACCTCCGCCTTGTACACGTTACACACGTGTTAGTTCTATTCCAAAACGACATGGGATTTACCCAGGGATCCATCTTCTCTTATCTCGGGAATAGTATATAGGTTCGTCACTTACTGGGGTGTTTTTTTAAACAATACAAATGATTCCAAAACAGCACTGATTGTCTCTAAGACTTGACAACGCTGTTGGTTGCTTTCGGTCTAATTAACTGAAGGTGATGCTTCTGGGCCACGCAGGAGTGGACTCTCCCTAATTCAAGAAAGTACTACTGTGCTGGCTTGTTATCAGTTGGAGCGCCCTACGCTTCAGGGTGGTTTTTTGACGATCCGATTGCGGAACGAGGCCTGTTGGTTTGATTTGAGACATCAGCCTGCAGCCCTCACGGCCAACCGAGCAACGGCAAGCAATCAAAATCCAGAAGGGATATCAACAAGGACAGGGGAGACTGGGATGGCTATCTCAGCATCGCTTGCAAACTGGTCCGGGCTCAGATCCTAGGTCATCCAGGGACCGAGGACGACTAACCGATTATGGCAAGCCAGAAACTGCCATTATAGTCGCATGAATTTGCCGGTAGTACTCCTCTGGAGGATGTTTTTTTCTTAAAACCAGCGGCACATTGGCTGTTGTCTAGTTTGTCCATGCGCTTACGAGTGTGTATGCGAAGCACGTGAGCGTTCGTCCATTAATCGGTCAGACTAGTGTCTTCAGGTCCACAAACGTACGCGGCCGCCGGCTCTAACACCACACAGATTTGTCTTCTTGGTCGTAACAGTTCGAATTTTTAGTTTTAGCTGACATGCTGTGATTTTCGTAATCTTAACTAGCCGTTCCAGCCAACAATACCTTGCATTGCAGTTGGCGCTGCCTAAAGAACCGTCTGCATCGGTCGTCTTTAGGTGCGCAGTAAAATCACGGATGAGACCGTTGAACAAGCCGTTCCATATCAAATACCACGATTGCATAACACGCTGCGGACGCGCAAACGGCATCCTCCGCAAACCCATTGGGATGGGTCTGCCGTTTAGCCAAACTTTGGATATATGGCCCGCTCACAGGTAGTGAACACCAAAACGAACTTGGCGGAGGTCGGCCGTGGAAGCGGCATGTTATCTGGTTCGGTAAGCAGACGGTTGTGGGCCAGCGGCGGCATCTTCACAAGAGCTCAAGGGATGTGGGGACTGGAACGCCGACTGCCGTAATGCCGCATGACTTAGTGACAGCTTGGCGACCGTAAACCACTATTCGATAGGCTCCCCCACCATCGCTACCTCGCGGTTAGGTTTAGATGAAAAGCAGTTCAGTCGGCTGCTGGGGACTCCCTAAGAAGAAAATGCCCAAGTGATGCCGTCCAAGTCAAGCGCGACCAAAGCTCCATCAAGTTGGCGTACCACCCAGTGAGGCAGGCGAGAAGTTAACAAGAGGAACGACTTAACGGAAGACAGGCTTCAGACATCGGGGTGCTGGAGGGCGGAAACCTTGCGAATATAATACCCCTTTCACCTTCATGTTACATTATTAGATTTATGAATTCTCCTACTAAAACTAAAACTGCAAGCAAAAGTTTTGCAATTTAACTATTTTACTTTATACCTGTACCCTCTAAATGGAGTTTTCATGGCTTCTGTTGTTTACTCCAAATATACTGACTGATACTGACTGAACTCCAATAACCAGAGTATTCCATTAGTGCGAGAGGTTTGTTGTTGGCCCAAAATCTGAATTATAAAACGCAACTTTCGAATATCTATGATACCGGAAGGGAAGTCCATCTGTGTCACCTATCACGGCGGCTCAGTCAAATAGCAAGGTAGGTGTGGCGAGCTTTGAGGTCGGTCTAGTGAGTCATATTCACGTTCGCACAAGTCCAAGACCCAGTTATTTGACTATTTGACGGAGAATCCCCTAAGTCGCTGGGTTTGGCTCTCAAAGGCCTTCCTGGATAGAGCGACAGAATATGGGGTCGGTACAAGTTGCAATACTGGTGCCAAGGTTATTGACTAGTCTTTGCTGACTGGATTCGCAGGGGAGTTTTAACAGAGCCAAGCAGGTTTCCTCACGAACAGGAAGGGTGGCTTCGCATTGGGTTTGCGTGGAAGTGAAGTTGCTAGGGATGATATAGAGGAATTCGCTTCGAATTGCGACACGCGAGATAATCAGATATGTCGATCTGGGGTGGGCACACCATGGAACTGTCATTTGCGCATTTCCAATGTTAAACACAGAGCGTTTAGCTGTTTGAGTTTGAGCATTGCCACCAGGGACAGACCCAGCCCGGAGCGGTCGTCGGCCGCGACGTTGGGGACCTTTCTCCGCCTTGCGGTAGTTGTGCGAGCTACACTACTCGCGTGCAGCCGAACCACTTGGCACGCACTTCCAGTCCTAAATAACCCAATGGTCCTAACTTCAATGTAGACGATATTATCTGTAAAAATACCGTTTGTGGGTTTCATTAGTTGCTAGTTGCCAAAGATCCCGTCGTACGCAAAACTCGAGAAAAGCCTCGATTTAAAAAAATGAATTTTATTTAAACAGGGATTTCAGTGATAGATGCAAAGGACGATTTCTAGGGCCAGTGGGTGTGTGCCTACTTAATGGCAGACTGAAAGGAAATTAAATGACGTTAAGGACCTACCCGAAACTGCTCCTCGATGTTTGATATCTCACTGATCAAATCCTTAATGGCGGACGAGAACACCTCCAATGGTGTAATCGATGGGGTCGTTTGTACGCGAAGCACAATTCTATGTTCAAGCGGGTGAGGAACTTTATAACCCGCAAAGAGAACGCGTGGGTCTTTCAGCAGTTGACTAAAATCAAAAGGAAAGTGAAAACTGAATAAAGACGGGAAGAAAATGCGGTTTTTTTCCTAGAAAAGCAACCGAGTACACCTATCTTTACCTAAAGGACGGATGACGGGAACAGAGCTGGTGGTCAAAGTTGCCGTTTGCCGGAACGCCCAAGGGTAAAACAGATTACCTTCCCCCCAAAAACCACCACCAGAAGCTGGATATGGGATAACGTTAACGACGACAAGCCTGGAATCAAGCAGTGTGGGTAGACCGATCCAGCAGTACTTCGGGCTTATCATGACATCATTTAATCAATCAGAGCCTTAACCACCACTAGGAGGAGAAATGAATGGGGCACATGGTCCACGGCAGGGGTATATCCAATGGCTCATAGGCACTTCGCTGAATTTTGGAACACCAGCTCCCCGCCGCCTCGCATTCTTTGTCGCTACTGGCCAGGTATTTATTTATACAAAATTGGCGCGCGCCTTACGAAACAGACAAGCTCCGAATAGGTGACTGAAGTAGATAAGAGGCCACAACCTGAGCAGGTGGCGAGGCATCCGGTAAAGCCTGAGCTGTTTATGGTCAAAAATAGTGATAATAGTTGAGTCGGGTTGAAGTGCGACAGAATAAGTCAGAAATCGCACTCTGTCAATCTACCTGCATCTTCCCTGACACCTCCGCCGTCATGTCCGCGACCCCTGCCACCCAGACAGTGTTTGCCGCGGGAGCCCAGTGCGTTAAGGTACGTCTCGATGAAATTTGTTATCGTGCAGCTCCCCATGGTCCTTAAATTAGACAGTACAAGGTGCACGGCCCAAGGGTCTGTTACGTTGTAGGTGCTATAATACTTTGCTCGCTGTCACGTGACTGGCTGATTGGTATAGCTGTGATTATGCCTGGCCTGGCTGGGCTATACCTCTCCATTCGCGAGGATTTACGGTACTCGATTTGAACAGCTCTACCGATCCCCTTCTCCAGCGACAAAGATCAAATAATGAAGGTTCAAAAATCCTCTCTGTCTTTGCGAACTGTGTCATGGCGGGTTTTGAGTTGATCTCCTCTTCGACGCCTCCAATTGGGCAACGGCAACGGATTGAAGGCATCAACTTCGAGCTCGTTAGGACGACAAGGAACGTGCCCAAACCACCTCAGCCGACTTTGTTGAATGGCCTGAGGTATCCTCACGATGTTGCAGCGAGTGCGGGCCGTCTCATTTGAGACGAAGTCGATGTACTTCACTCGAAGGATAATACTCAGACAGCAATACTCAAACACCTCCGGTTTTTGCTCCTTTTCCGCGCACAGCCCAGCGTTCACAATCGTAGAGGACTGAGTGGACGAATGCACGACACACACAGATCTTCGTGACGATAAAATTTAGCGTCGGATCTATAGGCACTTTGTATGGTTTGTAGAAACCCTGCGAACATAACCGAGCCGGGTGACAATGTCGTGCTTACTCTGTCCATTCGGCAGTAGCCGCGTCCCGAAGTATTTAAAATCGTCTAACGTTTCACGTTAAGAGACATTCATCTCGAGGGGTGACTTCTACTGGTCAGGGACAAAGCTTGAAAACACCTTGGTCTTCTATGTGTTTATTGATAAACGGATGGACTTCGCAAATTCCTTCACCCGCGACACCAGATTGTCAAAGCTTGAGGCTGGCGAGGCAATATCGTCAGTGCAGTCTAGATCGGTCAGGCGGCGTCCAGGTTCAAACTCAACGCCGCCAAAACCGCGTGGGGCCTTGCCGAGAATCAATAGTGTAGTTGAATAGAATAGGTGACAGGATACAAACTTGCCAAACACCAGATCGGATATCAAACGGTCGGGACAAATTGTTATGGATCAAAACCTGCGTAAAACTGGAGATATAGTAGGCCTTGGTCATGACGACTATTTCTGCCTGCACACCATCTTGTTCCATTATCCGTCGCAGGGACTCATGACGGAAAGAATCAAGCAGCGACAAAGTCAACAAAACAGACGGTCGTCGGCTACTGTTAGCCATGGCGGAGTTCCTGAATGTGTCACAGCGTGAATATTTGATCCATGCATCCACATCCAGTTCGGAAGTCGACTTGGCTGGGTCTCGTCCTAGAAGTCATGCATGTCCTTGAACCGACTGAGAAGGACAACAGTGAAGACCTTAACGGTGTCAATGAGACTTACGCCGCGGCGGTTCTCGATTTGCCTTATCTCCCTTCTTGAAGATAGACAAAAGGGTGATCGAGCTTCAGTCATCAGAAACGACATAATGTTTTCACCCTTACATAACCACCTCATGGAGCCGGGGCGTCAGTGTTGACACAAGACCTGCAGACTTCAACGGGAATATCGTCCTATCCAGGCGCCTTGTTATTGTGCAGCCTGTACTTTGTCGGCAACTCCTCCATCAGAAGAGGAGTCACATGGCAATGCAGGGAACAGCGAGGGCGTGATGGGTTGACAATCAAGACTGAGGTGCTCGTAGTGCCCACGCCAGAGATCGATCCTGGCCGAGTTGTCAGCAGTGAAGTCGCTATCTGCATGTTAACAGTCACTCAGTGCAAAAGGCTCAACACTAACTTGGCGAATAATTCAGTATTTTTCGAGTGCCATCAATGTCTGAGGCCTGCTCCATAAAGATCGCTGTTTCAGCCCTATATTTCCGTCCGTCATCCCTAACCAGAGTTGTTGTCATTTTCCGGAGTTGAAAGAATCATCGTTGTGGGACCAAACTAGAGTCGTCTGGGGAGACCACTGCGCGCCGCTGGGTGAATCCAATAATTCTGCTAATGTGACTCACAGACTAAAGACTTCAGTGATGACCATTGACCATTTCCTCTTTTGTTGGCTCGGAACGTAAAACAAGGCCGGGTTTCTGTGCTCAGGGCATCGACGGTGCTAGGTTGTGGAGATTATACGAAATCAAGGCGTACGGTACGTGGCATTCTAGGTGCAGATAGGAAGTGTACTTTCAGACGTGTGTGAACGTGAGCATCGTCTGGCCCATGGGCGTTACCAGTTTCGGCACCACATCTGCCATTGAAATAAACCTAGTTGCAAAATTTTCGACCGACTAGCATATTGTCGGTCTGACTGTTCGTATGACCGTCGTTTGAATACCAGACCAGCACAAGTTTATGACGATGCTAGAAGCATGTGTTGATGATAAATAGTCGGTTCTAATCAGCAAGGTTCGACATTCTCTCAACACTGTCGTACCAACAGCTAAGCCCAATGCAGCCAATAAGGTGACCATTTTATGCGTCGCCGGTCCGGTCATTCCAGTCCAGGCAACAATCGGCAGGTCGCGGCGATGTAGTCGTTCAACGAACACTTGCATCTATAAGTAGCAGGTCTCTTTATTACGCTGTTGGGCAGCTGATGTTAGCTCGTATTCGGAAACGACAGAGACGTCTGTAAAGCGATCTTCCAGTGGCACGTAAGAAATTCGGTCATTGACTGGTCATCACACAATTAGTGGAGAGTTCGCTTTTGGGGGATGTGGTTGCCATGCCGTGTCTACAAGAGTCGCGTAAGGTAAAGTGGAAATTGGCTCGGGGGTCCTTATTTTCTGAGAGCCCAAATCGGCAATTCGGGCTCCGACAGGCAGCAGACTCGCGCTGTACTGATGATTACGCACCGCTAGCCTTTGGGTCCAGGGACGTTCGGACATTCCAGCATTCAATACCAGAAGTGCGTTCTCAACTGAGTAGTCCGGCTCGCAAACTATTCGTCCACACTACTAAACCACGGTTTCAGAGTGTGGCGGTCCCGCAGACGCCGTAGCATTGGCCACAATACTGTAATTGGACATTTCTAACAGCCGATCAGGTTGTTTATTGGGGTTTTCTCCGGTGTTTTTGCTCAAGAACCTAACCACAAGGCAGCAGTGAAAAGTGAATTTATTTAGTGGCGATTCACGATCGCTACGTCAGTGTCGTCACCAGACTTTGTGGCGTTTTATAAGGCAGTCGGCGTACCAAACCTCAGTCCTCCGCGCCTTGGTAGTATTTTCGCTGCTGGTTAGCTGTTACTTATTAACCAGATCCGACAGCCTGCTTATTTCACAGCTAAACTCCACTGAACACTGTTTCAATACCGGCCAACTTTGGACGCGATGGTCAGCCAGCAGCTAGACCTATTTGTCACTCAGTGTGCAGCCCGCTAAAAATTTTAGCAGGACAAAGAAGGAGCATACTCTTTTGGCAGCAAAGTTGCAGTGGCCACAGTGAACAGGCCTTACAATGATCATTTTAAGGTGAAAAAACGACGACTCTTACCGCATGAGCATATTGCCCAGGGTGTGATCCTCACGGTTAAGAGTAATGATGGCAGCGTTGGGCACATGGGTATCCTTTTCTAAAAAAACTCTTACAAATAAAGCCTTAAACGGTATACTTTTTTTCACCCTCCGGCAAAAGGAAAGATTCGAAGGATGCTGGTGCGTTCATCCCGGGAGAGAAAGAATTAACCTGAAGCAAAGTTCCTTTTACTTCCGTCTAAGCCACAGTCTACCTTCCGTTAGGAGCGCAAATACTAAAAAGAGGTGGATGATTCATCAGGAAATTAGAGCAAAGGACGTCAAATATAGGAGGAATTTCTTGTTATAACAGGTCTAGAGCGATGAAATGAAACCTTAGGAAGAGCACGACGGAAAATATGAACATCTGAATGAACGACTTATTTACTAAGAACAAGCAGGTTTGGACCGTCGAAAAATCAGGAGCCAGCAGTCGAAAAGAATAAGCTGACAAGTAGGCAATCCGAAAGGGTCTAAACTAAGAGTTTCGTAAGACCGAGAGAGACATAACGCCTTCATCTCCAGTGCAAGTAACCTAAGTTACGTGACAAACAAGTAAAAATGAGAGTATGGGACAGAAAACCTGCAGAAGTGTAGTAAGCGTGTCAAAAGAGCAAAACACTCCAAAACTACATTTCCAGAACTTATATAAGCTTAGCGTGTTCGTCTAAATTCGTGACACTAAGAGTGTATTTAAAATAACGGTCTAATCGTGGTGTCCTTGGCGTAGGGGATGCTCGGGAATTCAGCAGCTGCAGTTGCTCTGGCAAATATGGCAGCGGCGGAAGACATCTCCGTGAGCTTGTATAAGCACCGTGCAATCCATAGGACGCACGTAACATAGACGGTCTACATTCCGTTTCAACTAATGACGCGGACTCCAGATTTCGGCGGCGTAAGATATTAGTTAAATAAACCGAAATGTCTGTGCGAGATAAAATAGGCGCGCGTACGCGATCTTGAGCGTTAAATTAGTGGAAACGCCAATTAACTATGCATGAGAGCAAGATATAGATTACTACGCCTTGGGTTAAACTATCCAAAAACGCCTTGCAACGGCCAGTGACGATCGGACGTATCATGTACCAGGTAAGCCACAAGGGAGCCCAGAAGGTTCCTCGGCAGACCAAACCAGAGAGCCCTCCGCAGGAAGAATAAATTGAAACCCCAAGGACGTCGGTTCAACGTAAAGAACGGAGAAAAGGTTTGCCTACTAGCGTCATAGTTTTCAGAAATTATTCAAACAGGGAAGGGTAATTTACTGCTTATAGAGAGTTTCACAAAAGCTTCGGGATAGTGGTTTGTATTTCTCTAAGCTACGAGCGGGCGCTATCCAAACAAATTTAGGACTTAACAAATTATTAAAAAAGCAGACAAGGTGGACAATAAGGACTCGTGTTAACGCCTAGATGTTAATTTCAATTAAGAAATTATGCCTTGGAAATTAGTAAAGGATTTTACGTCCGCCAGCTATTAGACCTTCTGTACAGAAGACTTTTAGGATATCTGCAAATTCTAATTTAGAAGCATTTAGAGAAAAATATGCACCAGGATCGAAGCATTATAAAACTTTTAAAGGTCAAAAATCAAGCGTGAGTTTTGGGAACCCATAGCTTAAATAAATCTGCTGAAGAAAATTCTATTTTGCTAATGAATGTGGAGCAGCAATGTAGGTTCCTCTTGAGACTG